AAACTTGTGTCTACTACTGGTGCAGGTAATACTCAAATACTCCTCTATCTTCAAGTGAATCCTTAGACTTGTCATGCTAGCTTTATGCTCCTGCTGTTTGGAAGTCTTGAGGACCATACAGACCTTGAGTGTCTGTAGGGTTTGTTGGCATTTGGCCTTTCATTTAAGTATGCAAGAGCAAAATTCATTTCTTCATTTGTCCCTTTTCTTGTTCAAGAACTGGCAAAAAAAAAAAAAAAAAAAAAAAAAGTGCTATTTTATTGAATTCTTTCTAGTAGCACTTTCATTCTACTGAATGTCATCCTACAAGGAAAAAAAAGTCAAAACTGAGAGCTAAGAAGAAGGAATGCCAGGTAGAACATGAAAAGAACTTTTCTATGTCTCATTTGCAACTTATCTCAGAGGAGATGTGGTGATTAAAGATATTAGAGAACAAGTAATGAAAGTCTAGGCTGTGCATCCAAGACCACAGAGGCAATTTGAGACATCAGCTGAAGCAAAATACCACATGGTGACTGGGCTCAGTCTGCATTTGATCACGTGAGAAAAAGGCTGTGTACTAGCTGGGAGTATCTGATTGCATGACCAATTGAGTCAATTCATTTTCCATTTGGTGGGATGAACTGAATTCCTTTAGATGAGGAAAAGCATGTTTTAAGTTGGAACGGCTTGCTGTGGCACAGCTTGAACAAATGAGGCCTCCATAGGCTTAGCTGCCCCTGCAACTGTTCATTTCTGTGCTTTTATAATGTAGCCGTTAAGAAAAATACCATTGCAATCACATAGAAACCTTTATAGCACCACTACAAGTTGTCACAATAGTAATTTATTGTTTATGTAAGTGCATAAAGTCCAGAAGACATTTGTATTTTAATTAGACACATTGATGCATTTTTCAAAGCAAACACTGAATGTAAAGCACATCTAGTAATGTCAAAAACACTTGACTTTTCAAAAACATCCTGTCTCCTCAGCTTCCTTGTGAAAGTCTCAATCTTTGTTTCTAGATTTATGGTGTATTTCAGCTGCATTTTTGATTTTATATTACTTTCTAATCATTATTCTTAACAGATGTTTTAAGTTTCCTTCCAACCTCCCTTCATTCCCACAGTCATGTCGTTCAGAAAAAAAAATATATATAGTTCTTGTTTTTCATTTGAGCTTCATTTAGGAAAAGAAGCATTCAGTCCATCATTATTTTTAAAATTCCCAATGTAAATTAACAAAGTTCTACAGATCAGTTTCTAGACATCATCATTAGCTACAAAAACTTGCTTTCAACACTCATATTCATGTATTTTTTAATCACCAATTACAGTTCACTCTTCCATAATCAATGGTGTTTTGCTGCTGTTTCTCCTATAGCAAATCTACCACTCCCATCCTTTGTAAAATTCCAAATGACTGAAGAGCAATTGAGAAGCAGAGACTTGCCTATAAAGATAATACATGTTACATTTTCCTTGCCATTTACATCTTGTGGCCAAATAACATGTGTCCTAGTTGTCTAGCAAAACAGCAAAGTTACTACTTTGCTCCTTCATGCRCGCTCTTGTCTAGGTAGATCTCGTTGTCTTACAGTTACAAGAAACCATGGTCGAGCTCTTTCTGCAAGGATAATTCCTGTACAAGTGTTTGACAAAGGAGGCAATAAAGACAGTATCAAGACTTTCCAGCTCACTGGTTTTCCATAAGAGATGGAAAACCAGTTCACAGATGACAGAATGGTACATTAATACTCCCTCCAAATAAAGTACAATTGGCTTGTAGGTCTCAGCCAGCTTTTCTCTGATTTGAAATTGAAAGGTAGAAGGGCCTATTCTAAAAAGAAGCTATTTAAATACTAAAATAAAACAGAGGAGAAGTCCGACTTTCTCATCTAATTTTCATATTAAAATCATGTTAAGATTTGTTAAAATTAATGTGATTATATTCATTTCYACAAAGGAGGCTAAAGAATTTCTTTTTCAGTTTACTCATCAGTAAATTTTTGTAACTACTATTCATAAGTAATGTCTTAAATTAAATAGCAGTTACAACAGATGACTGCTTATTATCTGGTTAGTGATATGAAATTGTCGTTTATATTATTAAATTAAATGGAATCACTAAATATAAACAGTTCACTAAACAGAAGCAATGTCGTAACTGCAATTATTAGTGAAATTATGGAATGTGGTTAAAATTTTGATTTCAGAATGTGTTTTCCATTTTGTATTCACCTTTTTTTCCTATTTTTAATGACTGAATACAGGAATGAGAAGTTACTGAACATCTATAACTCATTTTATAAAAATTCTAAYATGTATGATGATTTATATTGCATCCTCTCCTGTTGCCAAAATTATATATGACTAACAAGACTGACAAATATTGAGTTACTTATCATTTATAGAATTTTGGTTGAGAATATTACCAAACTTAAAATTTCTGTGCCTCAGTATCTGTAGAATTTTGCAACAAAATGACTTCTCCATTACAAATGTTTCTACCTGCCTCT